ACCTCTGCGTTCGAAAGGTTGCAGGACACTCGGTCGGCCCGAAAAGGCGACTTGAGAGACACGCTCAAGGAGAAGAGAGGGGAGTCCACAGCGACCTCCAAGGTCGGTTCTGAGGAGCGACGGACGACAGTCGGGGATAAAGGTGCAGCCGAGCTGTGGAAAATGTACGAACAACTGGAGAAGCGGCTGGATGCCCAGAACCCCTATCGCCAGGCGGTCTTCAGTGAGGTAACGCCCTTCTCCAGGAGGATAATGTCCTGCCCTCTCCCAGATAATTTCAAGACTCCCCAGATCAAGGCATACAATGGGACGACCGATCCCCAAGACCACCTCGCTCGTTTCGGGGCCAACGTAGTCATGTACGCGTATCCAGAAGAAATCAAGTGTCGGTGCTTCCTGGCGACACTGGAAGGGCAGGCTTGTGAGTGGTTTCACAAGTTACCCAAGGGGTCGATAGATAAGTGGGGCGACCTGGCCCACAAGTTCTTGGAGCACTTCGCGTCCAGCCAGAGACAAAAGCTCCCCTTCTCGCATTTGCTCAATGTGAAGATCCGGAAGGGGGAACAGCTCCGGGAGTTCATTAATAGGTGGGAGAAGGAGGCTAGGGATGTCCAAGGGGCGGACGACCAAGCCCTGATCGCCATGCTCCAAGCTGCACTCCCCCAAGGGGATGTGCGTAAGGAGCTGCGACGGAATCCTCTTTCGACCTATCAAGAGATGTTGGCCAGGGCGAAGTACCTGGCGCTAGAAGAGGAAGATGATGAGCCACCAGTCCGGAAGGAGAAGAAAAGCGGGCCACCAGTGGCAGAAGGAAAGAAGAGGAAGGAATATGGTAAGGGGCCGAACCCCACCGGGTATCATGCGAACAGGCATCCCGTTCACGCGGTACAGTCGTTGCCGGCCCCTCCTCATGGTCGGGAAAGCTATGGTGTGCAAGATGCACCCAAATACTGTGAGTACCACCGTAACAGCACCCATAACACGTCGGAGTGCGTTACGCTGAAGAAGGAGATGGATCAGCTGATCGCTAGAGGGCCACCTCCTCGGTCAGAGCGACCGTCCACAAGTAACCGGACCTGGAGGAGGCTGCCAGCCCCCACGGCAGCGATCACAGCAGGAGAGGGGCAAGAAGATGGACGGCGACACCTAGGGCGAGATTGTGATGACCTAGATGAGGAGGAGAGGCAAGGTCGCCGACACCTGGGGTGTCGGTTCATCATGGGAGGAAACACTGGAGGAGATTCGGTATCCTCCCGGAAGAAGTGGAAGAACATGGTGTACCTTGCCGAGGTACAAAGGCCACCGTTGCCTAAGCGAAAGAAGAAGGAGCCTCTGATCTTTACAGACGAGGATTATCCCCCAGTCCTCAGTCCTCACAGGGACGCTCTGGTGGTAAGAGTGGAGATCAATAATGTGGTTGTTCACCGAACCTTGGTCGATACGGGCAGCTCGGTTAATGTACATCAACACCTTTAAGGAGTTGGGATTGTCCCGAAGCGACCTGAAGCCAATCCATACGCCGCTGTCAGGATTTACAGGGGATAATATCAAAGCAGAAGGAACTATCACGGTAAAGGCCGGGGTAGGAGATGGCACCCACTGACTCTGGGTCGACATGGAATTTATGGTAGTACAGCTCGACTGTGCACACCATCTGATTCTGGGACGACCAGGGTTGGAGGACCTGGAGTGCGTAATCTCCCCCGTCCACTTATGCCTAAAGTTCAACACTCCCACAGGGGTGGGAGTAGCAAAGGGGAACCAGAGCCTGTCACGGTCGTGCTATGTCAGGGCGAC